CAGTACTCTTCTCTGACACCACAACTCAGAGGCATAAATTATTCTACTGTCATCCTTATTCATTGTCCAGCTTTCGGATGCATATAAAGTGTTTGAAAAGACTATGGCCTGAACCAGGCACACCTTAGTCTTCAGACTGACATCATTGCTCCTCAGTAATTTGAAGCGGTCCCTACTGCAGACTTTGCCAACACAGTACTCCCCTGAGTCACAAATAACCCTCTTCTAGATAATTCATATATATGGGATAATAGATTTGTTCATCTGAAACAAGCTTATTTCCATAAAGGAACTTCAGCGGTACATTGTGAGCTGCACTGCTAACCAGAAGGTCAGCAGTTCGAATCCACCACCAGCAGTTTTGAAGGATAAAGATGGACAGGCTTCTCCCAGAGATTTACAGCCTCAGAAACCAGACGGGGAGTCACTGTGAGTGAGAATTGGGTGGACATTTCACTTAGCGTGGCCTCAAAGTGCATTCAAGTTATAACATGTTTTGGGACTTTGATTTTTCTTTGGTTTTTCTTGCTGTTAAGTTCTGTTCATTTGTATAACAGAAGGAACCACTGTCCAAATGTCATCATTCTCAGCGTATTCTTCGCCAGCATCACAGTTTAGAGTGTCGTTTATTCTCCAGTCTTATCCATTGTCCAACTCCCACATGCATATGTGTCCTCTGGAAATATGTTGGTTTAGATCAGGCACATCTTAGTCCTGCAGGTGACATCTTTGCACTATAGCAGATTAAAGAAGTCCTTTGCTGCAGCTTTGCCCTAGGTAAATACATTGTTTGATTTCTTGACCATGTTTTCATGGACACTGACCGGGGATCCAGGTGAGATGGAGGACTTCAGTGGACCTTCCAGGCCAGGGCCAACTAAGAAGCAGGACTCGCTGTCTCCTTCTGAAATGACAGGTCTTCAAGAACCCCGTGAGGAACAGAGGGGTTATACTGGTTATAGCGCCAGAAGATGTGTCTCTCAGGTTGGAAGACAGTCAAAATTTGGGGAGAATGGAATATGAAGTAAATGAAATCCTTGACCACTTCAATCTTTTTTCACTGTACCATGATGTTGGTTATTGGTTCAGTTGTGAGGAATTTTGTTTTTTGTATCATGAGATATAGTCCATACTGAAGACTATGGTCAACCCTTCAAGTCTTCTTTGTTTCCAACAAGCAAATTTCATGCTCTGCATATTGTTGTGTTATGGTTGTATACCATTGAGCCAGACAGATCCATAGCTGACCCTCCAGTGGGTTTTCAGAAGCAGTAAATCACACAGGAGGAGACTGCCTATCTTTCTCCCATGGAGCAGTTGGCGGATTTGAACCACATGTCTTGGGGATTGCAGTGCAAATTCTTAGCCCTCGGCCACCAGAGCTGCAAATTGTTGATGTTGTTGTTATGTGCCATCATGTCGCTTGTAGCTCATAGTGACCCAGTAGCCCTAAACTCTGCTCTTATCCCTTGCCAATCTCACTGTCTCTGACATGCCTATCCCATTACCCC